ATGGCAGCTTTACTTGGAAGAGCTCCCACCTTGTGATGATACGCTTAACACCATCAAACAACAACATCTGCCTATCCAACTTGCTTACTTTATTGTAACTCAAACAGCAACTTGAGACTTTATGATTTGAGAAACTGAACCTAGAGGAGACTAATGATTCCAGGCAGAAAGGGAAAAGGAAAAAAAAAATCCTCTTGTTTTTGATCAGCTCTTGGAACTTGCAAAATGACAGAAAACGCTTTGACATTTGTTCCTGGTTGTTTGATGTGGGAGTGATATAATCCTCAAGTGACCTATTCTGCTCAGAATAAAATTGATTTTATCTCCACCTTTGGTGTGATTTATTGGGCTATAGCACACCAGGCAATGAACACCGCTTTTTGGAACAACAACAGTAACCACAGATCTTGCTCTATCAAAAACAACCTTGGGAGAGTTCACATTCACTGCTAAACCAGAGTTGATGGCATAAATCTCAGTTGGCTGGGTTCACCCAATATGCTAAGCCATTAAACATGGTTTATATAGAAAGCACAGCCACACTCTGGCTTAGTGTAATGTATAAACTCAGCTGGGGAAAAGGCAGAGAATGGGCCACATAGCATGCTGTACAGTGTTCTAGAACTTGGGTAGAACAACCTAGATGGAGCATGATATGTTTGTTTGTTTGCAAAGGAGGCTTCAGGTGGCTCCCAAATGGTCTGTGTGAACCCTTGAGGCATCTTTCACAATGTTCAACCATACTACAGAGGCTTGACTGGCCAAGTCCCTTTTATTCACCGAGCTTCCGATTTTTGGACTGCACCAGGAATCAAACATCAGAAAATCTTTTGAGCCTCTCATTTCTGAAAACAAAGACCCTACTGAAATCTGCCTTACAGTCTCTAAAGTTTCTTTGCTCTGTAAAAGAAGATTTTGCTTTTCTGCCTCATGCTAAAAATTTCTTTTTGCTTTCTCGTGGTGGTGTTTTTGAGCATCGTTTAATGTTGGAGGTGGTGGACGGATTCTTTTCCATTACAATTCTTTCAGTCCCAGTGCAGTCTCCAGAGCTCCCATGTTTCCTAGCCTGAGAAAGCTTAATTGGACAAGTGTCCTCTCCTGCCTTGCTTTGGGACCAAATTGGACTGCGAGAAGGCAGAGAGGCAGCAGACCTCTTGAAGGTGATCATGCAGAGAGAGTCGGGACAGTCCAATCCAGGCCTTCACCCCCTGCTCACCAAGTAAGTGGAGGACCTCCATGTTCCACCCATGACAAGTTCTCTGAAATTCTCCTCTCTTTGGACAAAAATGTTGAAAACATTTTTCTTCTTCAGATTACATGAGAAATGTTTGGAAGGAAATTCAGGGAGATGATCATGGACCCACCACACTTTTTTCAGAGGGTGTGAAAGAGAAATTTAAAAAGAGACCCCCAGAATCTCCATCATAAGGCATGGAGACTTACTGCTCCTTTCAGGAATCATCTCCTTCCAGCCATAAAAAAAGTCCTTCAAGATTTTCAGTGTTTGGTTGAAGCAATCAGAACAAAAACTGCATCTGTTGGAAAATATAGACTAACCAGCAGAACACAATCAGCCTGATCCACATCCCCTACTTGTTTCCTGGAGTCATTTGGTTAGCAAGGAAATTGCTGTCACAATTAACAACTGGTGCCAAAAGATGGTCTTCCTTTCATGGGCCTTATGTCTAGGAATTTGAGCTCCGGATCTGGCTGCTTCTCAAGATATGATCGTATCTTTAAGCACTTCCTTTACATATTGGGCGTGTTAACACATTTAAGTTCCAAATTCAGAGAAGGATATTTTGCAAGTTCTCTTCTTTCTTTCTCAGAACATTTGCAGCTTGGTCCACCTCAATTCTCCTTTCCGAGAATAACTGGATCAAATGCCAGGCAACTGGATTCATTGAAAAAATTCTCATCCTTAGATTCTGAAAGAGATCAGATTGTCCCCTCTGGAGATTCTTCCTATCATCAGCAGGTATGTCAGCCATAAAGGTAGAGCTTCTATTGTGTTAATCGTTATTTGCAAAGTACTCCTTTTTGAGTTTAGGATAGGACTTGGGTACCATTAGGTTGGGATCAGCTTCGTTTGGATTTCTTTTATCTGAGTATTTAATGGTGAGGAAAACAAAGAGGAGTCACTCAGGATCTGGGCACTTAAACCAGAGAAAATCCTTGAAGCATCTAAGAATTGATGAGGCCAGTAAGGGCCACTGATTTATTTACTATAAGTAATTGGTTCAACCCCTTGGCTGATTCATGAACGGAAACAGTTCTAGTCGCAGAGCCAGATGCTGTGAGCATGTCAGTGTCCTGCCTACTACAGGAATCTCTGTTGCCAGAACAGCTAACACAGCAAGTAAAATATAACAATGCAACCTTTTCTCTGGCAGCTGAGAACGTTTAGTCAAATTAATTATTGCAGATACTGTTTCTTTGATAACTCCAAACTCACACATCATCTGTGAAAAACATGACTCCCTACTATGCTTATGAAGATATTCCTCAAAAGGCTCTTATCAGACCAAAGAATTTCTCTCGACCCTCAGGTTGAGACAACCTCTAAAACTTCACAATATATCATACAATCAGCTCTAAGTATGGTTTCCAGTTGTAATAACGTCATGAAAATTCATAAATGGGGTTCCTGTCAAAAATAGAATTCTCTTTGCATTTGTTGCTACATATCCAAATTTCCCAGGTGGACCTGGGATAGTAGAACAACTGCCAAGTGATTGAAGTGCCAGTAGGCTCTTGCTGACCTTTAACACTTGCATAATTCCATCAATGCTGATTAAGATGAGGAATCATATAGCCACCTTTCAGATCTCCCTTTACTGAGTTTTGGTTGTAAAGGAGAGGTGACTCCCTATCCCCTTCTTTGTGAAATGCCTCAGGGCACAGGGGTCTCCTTCGTTCAACTGAAAATCTACCTGAAAGCTCTGGATGAGGTCAGAATATTGGTTTGAAGTTTGGTATCATGAGTATGCTGATGTTATCCAATTATATCTTTCAACCCCAGGCTGTCAAAGTCCCACTGCAGTGTGCAGAGAGTAAGGAAGATGATCTTGATGGAGATATGCAGGAAGTGTTACTTAGGCAAAAGGGGCTGAAGCATTTTTTAAGTCTTCTGGTGGCATGCAGATCTAATCAGCTGCATGTTTGATCCTCTCCTCTTCTCTCCCTCCTTCAGAGTCCTTTATTTGGAGTGAAATAACAGGTGAGCCTGTTTTACAAGTCTCTTTTGCTTGTTTGTTTGTTTCATTTTGCAAAGTGTCCTTTTGTACTTTTGGGAAGAAGAGCTCATTGTGCCTCATGAAATGAAATGGTGAAGGTGAAAAAAGCCAAGGAGAAGATTCCCAGGCCCTCCTCCATAGAACAATTAATCTTGATGGTGAAACCTCAAGATGATACTATCCTTGTTGCTGAGTTTCTTGGAACTAAAGTCACAATGCTTCCTGTTTCTTTATGCTTATAATATAATTTTTATTAAAAGAAAATTTTACATCAGATGAAAAAACTATGGAAACATAAAAGAGTAGAAAAAGAATTATGAAATATGAAAGACTAAAAGACAAAGTGAAAGATTAGAAAAGAAAGAGAGAAAAAGAAAGATATCTAAAGAAG